CCTTTGTTTTAGACTAGTCATCTCCTGGCATAGCAACCAGGCAATACCTAAGATTCTCAACAACTGGGCCAGACAAAGAGGTAGCTCTTAGGCCTTGAAAAAATCTACTAGATAGATAGTTTACTGTAAGAGTGTTTCTTTCTATAGTGTCTCTCATTCACAAACTCATCAAATACATTTGCTGATATAATAGTATCATCACTGATGATAAAAGATGAGTTCACTACATCTCTAACATCGAAGAGCTCACAAAACAAAGATTGAAGATGTGTACCGTTGGCAAATAGGGAACATGCTATTTCTAATAGAGAAGTGAGTATGAAGGACCCTCCACGCTCCTAGACACTGAAGGTGACAATGACAGACTTTCCACCAGATGGCACTGCTTACCGTCAGAAGCCAACATTTCTCTAGGATACCTGAAGAAAAAAAACTCTGGGTTTCATAGGCTGTCAGACATTTCAGTGGTTAAAGAACTCTAAAGCCAAAAGTCTATAGAGATGTGTTAACGTAAACCAAAATGGAGATTACACAAAGGGCATCCATCTTCTGAAAATATTTCATTTCTGCATCTGAAATGTAAATTCTTGAAGGCAGGAGTGGTGGCACACGCCTTTGATCCCAGCACTCGGGAGGCAGAGGCAGGTGGATCTCTTGAGTTCAACGCCAGCCTGGTCTACAGAGCGAGTTCTAGGACAGTCAGGACTACATGGAGAAACCCTGTCTCAAACAGAAGAAAAAAAAAAAAGAACTTGTAAATTTTGGATTGTAAGCCTAGCCTTTGACAGCTGAGCCATCTCTCCCCCTCACCAGCCTTAGCACTCAGGAAAGCAGGCCATGCTCCTCACCTGGGCAGCACAGCAGAGCTGACCCTATTGACAAGGATACAGGTGAACTGGCCCGAGAATGTGATTATGGGAAATTTGGCCTACCCCTCATCTGCCATATGGTGGTGTGAGCAGGGGAGAGATGTCCCCACAACCCCCACTGCCTGTGACAGGTTGGGGAGCTGACGCTGAGGTCACGAGAACAGGAGAGCTGTCCCTGCCCCTCATGCAGCATTCGGGTGAGTGGCTCCTGTACCTCACCTGGGCAACACAGTAGAAACTGGCCCTGAAGGTCTAGGTGTGAGAGTGCCAACTCTGAGGGTATGAAAGCAGAACTAGCCCCACCCCTTGCTCTTTGCTGCAAGGGGTGAACTGGGGTGGGGGGGGAGGATGCTAGAGAGCTCACCATGGTGATGAGGACAGGGGAGAACTGGCGGGCTGACCAACCCTGTAACTACTCAGCCCAGAACCAGGGTTATGAGTTGGTCCACCCCAACATCCTCACCATCCGTGATCTGCTGGAGCACGTGAAGGGACCAGTCCTGCAGATCCAAAGCTGCAGGATCTTCACGACACAGGGCAACAACAGGATATCCAAGAGGAGTCCCAGTGAGGGTCCAGTATCGATAGTGCAGCAGAAACTAGAGGCCTCGAACCAGACCAATGACTGTCTGCAATGAACACTTGCAAGTAAAGACATATGCTGTGGGATGGTCTGTATGTCAAATGTGTTGCTGATTGGTCAATGAATAAATCACTGATTGGCAGTGGCCAGGCAGGAAGTATAGGCGGGACTAACAGAGAGGAAAATTGAGAGAACAGGAAGCTGGGGAGGGAGACACTGCGAGCCGCCATCAGGACAAGGAAGATGTAAAGTACCGGTAAGCCACAAGCCACGTGGCAAGGTATAGATTAATAGAAATGGATTAATTTAAGCTGTAAGAACAGTTAGCAAGAAGCCTGCCACGGCCATACAGTTTGTAACCAATATAAGTCTCTGTGTTTACTTGATCGGGTTTGAGCGGCTTGGGACTGGCGGGTGAGAGAGATTTGCCCTGACTGTGGGCCAGGCAGAAAAACTCTAGCAACAGACATATGGACAAAAGGACATACTGTGTGACTCACTGTGTCACACTACAGCTTCCATGAGATTTTTTTTTCCTTTTTTTCTTTTAAATTTTATTTTATTTGGGGAGGGGTTGCAAGGGCAGAGGGCAGATACGAAGGGACAGGGAAGTAAATGGGCTCTAGATGGGAAAGACACAAAGAATAAATAAAAAGAAGGTTTAAAAAACTTAATCAAAAAGGAGGCAACAATAACAACAAAAAAACTCTTGAATATCTATTTTCTAAAATCTCACTAATTGACTAATTATTTTTAAAACATTGAGTATTGGGGAAACTTTATTTCCTTTGCTTTCATTTAGGAACATGTTTTAATCTCCATCATACAATTTATAACTACTCTAGTAATAGCAAAAGTACAAAAATAAAAGAAAATGCTGTATTTGGATGTAAGGTTCAGTCATCCCACGGTACAAAGAAAACCTTTCATGAACTAAGCACATAAATGTAAGTACACATCTCAGGACATCATTAGCCCTTTCCAAGCAAAATAACCAAACCCTACAGAATGCGCACAGTCAAGACAACGGGGCCAGTATCTGCTCAGTAAGGTCACCAGAGCTATGCTGTAGAAATAAAAAAGGAATACGACAGAGCACACAGTCCACTTGCATTTAACTCCAGGTTTGAAGACACTGGCCCACAACTAGAATTTTTATTTCAAGTGAGGGACTACTTACTGCACCCTGAAAATTATCCTGTACCTGATTAGTATGATGTACAAGAAATCAGAAGTACACATGCTTAAGTATCATCTAACAGTATCAAACCTTCCACATATAAGCAGGAAGTTATTTATATCCCATTCATTCACATCTATAACCCAAAATAATTCTGTCAGGAAGAAAGTAGCATGTATATCATAATACATCCATTTTTCTATTAGCTCTGTAGTTAAATGATTGACATATAATTTATTGTGAAACTTTTGGGCCGTACCAGTTTATAAAAAAAAAAAAAAAAAATCAACGAATTCTCAGCTTTTTCAACCTTTTAATCAACAATATCAAATATTCAGAAGTGTGGTCCTAAAGCAGTCTCATCAAGACTGTTAGCCTTTATCTCATCAAGGCTAACAGTAAATACCTCATACAAAAGTATTATGTAGCAATTTCCTCTGAACTGAAATACTTACTCCATGCTTGAAGGAAGCTCATTAAAATGCAGGAAGTTTTAAAGAGAGACTGTTAAGACTCAGGAAATAGACAAACAAACAAACATAACAAAACAAAACAAAAAACAAAAACTCACAAGTCTCTGGGAGTTCCTGAAACTGACCAGATTCACAAGGCCCCTCCCACCCCAAGGTTACGTAAGTAGTAAGGACAGCTGAGAAGACTCTCCAACCTGTCAGGCCCCAGGGCTTCAACTTTCATGCTGGCATGGGCTTTTGTTGATACAGCTGCCTTTGAATGGTCTACGCTCTGGTAAGTAACCCCTACCCATATTCCTGGAGGTAACTCCAATAAATTCACTGGTTCATGATATCGGTGGTATCATTACTTTGGTCTATCTTCAGTTCCCTATCCAACGTGAAGAGGATTTGTTCACACCTCCCCATGAAAAGTGTCACACAGCACAAGGTAAGTGTTCTGAGAGACGTCGACAGATCCTTACATAAAATGTGCTCTTGTCATCACTCACTTCCAAGATAATCTGCCCTGTTTATTCCCAAAACCTTTATAATAATAAGTCAACCTGCTAATTCAAAACACCTTAAGACTGCTAAAGTCTTTCATCCATTTGTTGAAAGGGTGCTAATGACTTACTGTTTTGCATACAAACAGCTTTTCCTGACATCACTAAATGTACCAACATATGCATGCCTTTTTGAAACCATAGATTATTATGACCATTTTGATTTACAGCCCTACTGCTAAGTTGATAGCATGTCCTTCACATCCCATCAAGACCAGCAACATTTTTTACAATCAACTTATTTTATACAGCATCTGGAGTCATGATATAACCAAAAGAAAGAACCTAAAACAGATTTCAAATTGATGTCTGCCTTGCTTTATACATGATGGCCTATAATAACAAAGAGCATGAGGGACCATCCTTAAATTTTTTTATTCTGACTTTTTTTACATTTATTTTACATTTTTTTAAAAAATGAAAGTATATCAGATATAAGCCATTAGTTTACATATTTATTTATGAAAAAGCAAAGCTTATTTACTTATGATTATGAAACATGGCATCAAAGTATAACTTTGTTGGGCCTGATAGCACAAGCCTGCAACTCCACCTACTTCAGAGGTTGAGTCGGAAAATTCATTAGTTCAAGATCTCATTAATTCAAGAGTTCCTTAGGTTACAGAGAAAGCCCAGGGCGAGGCTGGGCAATTTAGTAAGAATTTGTATCAAAATCAAAAGGGAAGAAAGAAAGGAGGCTGGGGATAAAGGGCCCAGAGGTAGACCACCTGCCTGGCATGCCCAGAGTTCTAAGTTCAATCACAGTGCTACAAGTTAAGAAACAAAAACAAAAACATTAACTTCCATTCTTGGCCTTGCTATCCACTTTTCTGTTTTGTGAGAGGACTCTCACTGCTTGGCAACAGATCATGCTGGTATTGAATTTATTATCCTCCCCAGTCTACTTAGTGATGGGATTATAATCATGTGCTACCATCTCCAGCTAGCCGCTGTCTTGACTGAATATATTACTCTTATAAGTGGAGGCAAATTTAATTTCACTGATAGACTTTTTATATGTTTTGATAATTTCATATAGGAATGCACTATTTACTATTTCTACCAGCACTCCCATTCAGTTTCTCCCCTTTCCCTCACCCTACTCCCTCTTGGATTTATGACTGTTTCTTCTCTAACTGTTATAGATTCAAAGAGAGAGAGAGAGAGAGAGAGAGAGAGAGAGAAATCCAGAGTTCATTTGGTGTTTCTCGGGTATACATGTGTTTAGGGCTGACCCCTCGACACTGCATTATATATCAGGGGTCTCATCCCTGATTGCTGATAAACTTTTTAGGTAACATTTTAAAACTGGCATTTCTTTCTAGCTAATCGTTTCAGAAATCTACTCACCCTGCATTGTTGCTGACTGCAGTTAGATCTTTCACTCCAGTCTTCAATAAAGCTCCTATAAGATTTTCTGGAATTCCACACAGCCCAAAACCTACAAAACCCAAAAGGGAAACAATTACCTGTGCAAAGGTAATGTTCTTTCACGAAACCTACATTATTATTCTCAATAGAACAGAAAAGGCACAAAGCATCTTGTTAAACGTAATAAGCAAAATACACAACTATACCTTATCAACTCAATACAGAGCCATCAGTCAGATTACTGGATCTCTGTGTTTCAAACCATTATATGTCACCAGACACCACTGTCAAGGCTTTGAATAAGTTAAGACCAAATGTAACCACTTAGATATGGAATGTGTACTATTGCCCCTCTTCATGATATAACCCATATCCAGCTATTTATTTCAATATACATTTTATACATCTAGGTAGTATATTTTACAGAACTAGAACCCTAAGCTAATAACTTTCATTTCTTACATCTTTAAGATTCTTCCAAGAATGTAGGATTTAAGTGGACACTCAATAACTCCCCAGTGTGAATGAATGAATAAAGAACTGCCCCAAAATAAGTCTTGATTGCATATATAGGAATCAGGAAGTTAAACGTAATTAAATCTGAGGCAGAGATTAAAAAAGACATCCCAAAGAAGTAGCAGAAACAGAATACGGGGACTTAACAGAAAGACTCTGCTCTTTTGCTCAACAAATAAGGAGCAATAAAGACGGACCGGAGCGGTGGTTCTCAGCCTTCCTAATGCCGAGACCCTTTAACACAACGCCTCATGTTGTGCTGACCCCCAAGCATGAAATTATTTCATTGCTACTGCTATGAACCGTAATGTCATTATCTGTGTTTTCCAGAACGAAAGAGCCATTCAGCCCCCACAAAGGGGTCACAACCCACAAGTGGAAAGCCACTGAGCTAGGGTACCTAACAGGATGAGGCACGTGTTTCAAGTTCACCAGGATTCCCAAGGATTTAGGGATCCACGACAGCTCCTGATAAGACACTAGCACACGAAACCTCTGGCTTTTCAATTATAATCAGAAGAAAACGGAAAGGAAAGGGCACAGTAGTAAAGTGCTGATCTTCCAGGGAGAGACTGTCACGGAGTGGCAGGGGTCATGGCGCGTTGTAAGTAAGACAGTAAATGAGGAAGGGCTCAATGATAGAATAACTGGCATTTAGAATCTATATAGCTTTGTCATATCATTTTCCTAAAAACCTAAGAACATTACCATCGAAAGGAAAACAGTTCCTTTACTTACCACCAACCAGCAAGGTGGCACCATTAGGGATATCTTGTACGGCTTCCACTGGATCTGTGTAAAATTTGGTGTGGTGACGAGTACTGACAGAAAAGTAGCAGACACACCCCTGGAACATTAAAAACATTTCCAGTGAACAATCATCTGCAGCTTCACTTTACACAAATAGCAAATGATTCCATATATACGTAGATGTGTGTGTGTGTGTGTGTGTGTGTGTGTGTGTGTGTGTGTGTGTGTGTGTATAGTGGTAAGTTCGTTGTCCCTTTTAACACTTGGTATTTTTAATTGACAAAAACAGTATGTTTACAGTATATACCATCACATTCTGATACATCTATACATTGCAAAATGCCTAACTGGAGCTACCTGGCACAGCGTCACTTTTTGCACGTCACTTTTTTTTGTGGTAAGAACAATTCACAACTACTCAGAGTTTTCAAGTAGAGTTACTGCTCCTGCTCATCACCAGGCCATCTATTCCTAAGTTTATTTCTCCTGTCTAACTGAAATGTTGTGTTCTTTGACCAATATCTTCCCAACTCCTTCAACTTCTAACATCTAGGATGTCATTTGACTCTGTCTCTCGGGTACAATGGTTTATCTTTGCCAGGATGGGCATGCTCTACTGACAGGTTCTCACCAGGGTCCCTTGTGATCTATATCTTCTATTATGGGGGGGGGGGGGCAGCTGTGTCACTTGCAACCACCACCCAAAAGAATAAAAGTAGATAACTCACATCGTATGCTGGGATGCAGATTTACGATATCAGTGTCATCAGTCACCCATTTCTCATAGTAACCTAGCTTTCCAGTCAGTCGACAAGTACTGAGAACCTACCTGCGCCAAGTTCTATGCCATCTGTCGAATCTCTATAACGGTCTGAGTACCGCTCTCTGGGGAATCAAGTACAGTGTGGTCAGTTCCAAGTGCTAGGAGAACTCTAGAGCCGCGTGAGGAGCAGCACACCAGAGGACTCACTTCCCTGTGCCGCTACCACAGAAGCTGAAGGCAAAGCAGCAGACTATGACCACTACAGAGAGGCCTTGGTGCGCCACACCGGAGAACTACCAGGGCACATACGATCTGGAGATGGTCTGTCACCTCCACAGCCCATGTCAGAACTGGGTCCCCGGGTCAACGGTGTTGAGAAGCGGTAGAACTTTCAGGAGGTGTGGGAGCCTGCACAAAGGTATGAAGGCTACTGGGCTCGTTCTTGTAGGAGCGAGCAAGTCCTTGCTCTGGCTGCACTCCCTGAATTGCTGACTGCCAAAGCTAGGCTTTTTCTAAAGTGAGGCTGCCTGTCCTTCACACCTGCTCATCCCTCTCTACTCCTCTGCCACATCATAAAGCAGTGCAATGCTCTCATCAGATGCAGTCACCAAACTGTGGGCTTTTGGTCTCCATCTAACTACGAGCTACCTAAACTTCTTTTATAACTACCCAGTGTTTGTTGTAGCAAGTGAGATGGGCCTAAATGAGTCATCCAGTGAGCATTCATAAAACCAGTTGTAAGTTATTGCCCTGTCTATTCCATCCACAATATGGGCAAGCGAAAAGGAGGAAATGGATTCTACGGTAACTAATGGCCCATATTAACAGTCCTTCCCTTTACTTCCATTATATATTTAACCTGAAGAAAGAGGAAGTGGAGAGAATGACAGCTGAACCCTGATATCCTGCCACTTTAACAAGCCCAGCTATAAAGTCACACCCACTTGACTACCCAGCAGAAATTCAGACAGCCACAACCTGAGGTGGTCAAGAACTGTCTTTCTTTCTTTCCTGTAAAAACTGTTCTCATTTTTCAAAGTACCTGTCAGTTAGCACAAAAGACTATTTAAGGGGTAAACACTGAGGGAGTCTAATGAGTGATTAAAAAAAAAAAAAGGTTGAGGTTACACACATGATCACAGGACTTTTGTCCCTTTAAGTTTCTATTTTGGTCAAGGTCAGGTCAGGAGTTTGCACACTGCCCAAAGCCTGGGACATAAGTAGAGGGAGGGACAAGGACTCTGAAAGGGCTTAACCACAAAGAAGTTTCTTTTCTTCCTGTCCTCAACTAGTAAGGACTCACTTGCTTCTTTTTTTAAACACACACACACACACACACACACACACACACACACACACACACACACACACACACCAGGTGACGAGTAGAGCTAGTTTTGGTCTCAGAAATAAAAAACATATAATAGATTGAATATAGACATGCTGGTCCTGTGATTCCAGCCAGCACCGGGGAGGCTGAGACAGAATGACTGCTAGCCAGAGCTACATAGCAAGTCCCAGGTTAGCCTGGGAAACAGCATGAGATTCAGTCTTAAAATAACAAGACCAGAGGGCTGGAGAGATGGCTTAATGGGTAAGAGCATCTACTGCTCTTGCCAAGAACCAATGTTGAGCAGCTCACAATTGCCTGGAACTCCAGCTGCAGAGGATCTGATGCTTCCAGCCTGTGTTAGCATAAACACACACACACACACACACACACACACACACACACACACACACACACACACACACACACACACATCTTTGACTGGTCTCAGGTTTTGGCTTCCTGTCACACAGTCCTTCCACCACAGTGTGCTCTTGCATGTTTTCTGAAAGTCCTCTATTGTTCTACCTGTCATTTACACACAACAAATCTTTATGAGAGTCCTGCTCTGTAATGTGTGACTCTGCTGTCATTAGCTCTGCCTCGGAATAAAGAGTCCAGGCCTCAGCAGGATACATACGGAAGAAAATCAAAGAATTCATCTACACCCAGACAGGCTGAAAGGTGAGGTCACCTTGAACTGCTTCTCTGTGGAATTCCACAGAGAGTATGCTGGAAGCAGAATCCGTTCCCCCATGGACCCAGAGAGCCTTCGAAGATTCAGAAGCAGCCCAGAGTCACACACTTAGCAAGAATCCCACCCCTTTGGAGTAGCTGATAATTAGTGTCGTCATAGCACTAATTAGCAGTCAGCACTATTTACCCTGCAGCTTGTCCCAGTCTGAACTTCCCCCCTTCTTGAAAATAAAAAAGAAAGAAAAAAGAAAAGAAAGGACAAAAAAAGAAAAGAAACCCATCAGAAATATTTTAGAAAAGGAGGAAATTGTGCTGGAGATGTAGTTCAGTAGCAGAATGCTTGCCTAATAGGCAAAAGGCCCTGGGTTCAAACCGATGTGGGAGGTTGTTATAAATGTACCCACACAACCAAAATTCAAAAACCGCAAGGTATGCTGGAGAGAAGTAAGCTCAGTTCTCTGCACCCACATCAGACCGTCAGGTGGCACTCACAACTGTCTGCAACTGCAGTTCTGAGGATCCAAAGGCTGCAACTGTAGTTCCCCAGGGATACAATGACGTCCAGCCTCAGCAGGCACACATGCATGCGAGTGGTGCGTATACACTCATGAGGTCATACACACACAGACAGAAATAAAAGTAAAGTGATATATTTCCAGGGAATGTAAAATTGAGCTTAAGATAATGAAGAACTTCATAGCCCTTGATTTTTTTCATTATTCAAACATGTTAATATTTGTTAATGTATGCTTTATTGGCATTTGATATTTATGTACTATGTACTGAGAAACAAACTTTTTGTAAAACATGTTTCGGTATCAGAAAATTAGCCACCTACTTTGGGAGATAGTATGATGTAACACGCCATATACTCCTACGGTCAAAAGTACCCTCGTGTCAAACCTCAGCTTAGCCAGGACTGAATGGATGTGCCAGGACTTAACCACTGACGACGTCTTTGTAGAGAGGTGCTATTTGGTCAAAGCCCAGTGAGGTGCTTGCACAGTGCCTAAAGATGACCATTGTGGACCGTCTCCCAAAGATACAGTTAGAAAAGAAGCTCTATGCCAGACTACAAGGAAATTCCTAGGGGATGTCATCCTCCTTTGGGAAATGACACCTTTTTACCATCCCCAGCTAAGACAGTCAAAGCAAGCTGTCATTTATTGGAGTCTAATTTTTAACCTCACCACTCCCTGCCTGCCCTCCCCCACCCATCAATGATTTCATACAGAAAATTGGTAATGTGACCTTCACCACTGCAAATTCATCCATATGATATTTCTTTACGATTTCTGAAGCCTAGGTCTTAGCTTTATGATTACTTTTTCCCTCCTTCATGTGTCCAGTCCTGTCATTCTTTCTTCTTGACAATATCTCACTGTGTGGGTCTGGCTAGTCTCAAAGTCCTGGCCTTGAGCAATCCTCCTGCCTCAATTCCAAGCAGCCGGGACTACAAACACACACCACTATCCAGCCATATGGGCATGCCATTTGCAATCCAGTTTGCCAGTCTGCAAACTCGGAGGCAGTTGGCAAGCCAGGAATTGAGACAGACGGCGGGGCAATGAGGAAGCCCAATGCCCGTGGCTAACTGTACCACCGAGGGTCTTCAAAACCCAAAGCCCAGAAAGTACCTTAGGGGCCGCACAGGAAGCTTTTGCCTTTGCTCGCTTAATCAGTTCTCCCCTGCTCCTCTACTTACACTGTGTCTCTGCGAGTCAAGACAAACCCATGTTACTGGCAGTAATTCCTAAGACGAGGCAATTGGGGAAAAGTGTATCTCTGCTAACATCTACCTTTTCTCCTCAGACAGGCAAGTTTAAAGACACTCTATTTAAACCACTCCCAATTAACCTTCTCCTTCTAATATATTCTCTACTTTAAATGGTGTTTTGAAAAATACAAACGTGTTGGTGGAGGGCTTGCCCAGCATGAACAAAGCCCTCGTGGGCCCCAGCAGGCCAGCTACAATCCCAGCACTAGAAGCAAAAGGATTAGAAACTGAAGGTCAGCCTTGGCTACACAGCACGTTTGAAGCTAGCCTGGGCTTCATGAGATCATTCCTGGAAAAAAAGGTTCATGTACCAGCTGCTGCCAAATAGATAAATACATAATAAATAACTTTCACGTTTGCACAGAGTACCTAGAAGAATGTGGGGCACTTACTCTGGGGATAAGCTTTTCGTCACAAAGTATCTTATCTGTCTACCGGCCTACGTTCAGAAGAACCACATTTTATTGATGGTACTCATTTCTGATATTAAAATGGAGTGAGGAGAGTTGGAGAGATGGCTCAGAGTGTAAGAGCACTGGCTGCTCTTCCAGAGGTCCTGAGTTCAATTCCCAGCAACCACATGGTGGCTCACAGCCATCTGTAATGAGATCTGGTGCCCTCTTCTGGCTTGCAGGCAACATGCAGACAGAACACTGTATACATAATAAATAAATCTTAAAAAAAAAAAATGGGAGTGAGGAACATAGTAATTAAGTACTTTAATGAGAGAAACAATATTCTTTTTTTTTTTTTTTTTTTTTTTTTGGTTTTTCGAGACAGGGTTTCTCTGTGTAGCTTTGCGCCTTTCCTGGGACTCACTTGGTAGCCCAGGCTGGCCTCGAACTCACAGAGATCCGCCTGCCTCTGCCTCCCGAGTGCTGGGATTAAAGGCGAGCGCCACCACCGCCCAGCGAGAAACAATATTCTTAAGAGTGGAAACTACTTCTCTGTTTAATGCTTCTCCCTTTGGCATCATCTCCATTTTGACTTTCAGCTCTTCGACCTGACCTCTGAAGTCTTACTCCATGGTTGAACTAAAGTTCATCTCACGACTTCCTTTCTAGCCATTCACTGCCACTGTTCACCTCAGACTCTTTCCGTCCTCACTCAACACTCGAGAACTCGGGGGGGGGGGGGGGGGGGGGGATGTACTTTGGGATGAAAATACACCAAACACACGTTTACAATACATTTGGGATTTTGACTCTGTTTTCTATTTATTTTGTGTGCGTGCGTTTGTATCTGGGTAGGGAAGGGATGTGCCACACTGCACCTGTGGAAGTGAGAGGACAACCTGCAGTCCTCAGTTCTCTCTTTCTGCCGTGTAAGGCGTAGAGCTTGAACTTGGGTCATCAGACTTAGTGTGAAGTGCCATTATCCACTGCTGGGGGATGACGTCTTTCTGTATGCTGTGAGTATGTGTCGCTCTGATTGGTTGACAAATAAAGCTGCATTGGCGTATGGCAAGACCGCTTCCAGGCAGGCAGGAAATCCAAGCAGACAGAGAGAAGAAAGGAGAGGAGAGGGAGACGCCAGCTGAAGCCAAAGGAGAAGCAAGATGCCAGCAGACCGGTAATGCCATGGCCATGTGGCAAAACACAGATTAATAGAAATGGGGTTCATTTAAGAAGAAAGAGCTAGCTAGCAAGAAGCCTGCCCTAGGTCATACAGTTTGTAAATAATATTAAGCCTCTGAATGATTATTTTATAAGTGGCTGCAGGACTGCAGGGCCAGGAGAGACCAGAAAAACCTTCAGGCTATAATCCATGATCCATCTCACTGCCCAAAACACATTTATACACACACACACACACACACACACACACACACACACACACACACACACACACGTATTACCTTAATGATAGAGAACTACACACCCAAGTGATAACATTGTCACCTCACTACTGTTATTAAAGAAATCATGACATGAAAAGGCTGACTTTGCCTACCTTTGTATCGAAGTTTGGTAAACAGAATTGGGGAAGAAAACTAGTCAGGAGGAAGAGGCAGCAATACCCGGGTGAATAGGCGCATACAAGCTTGCCAGGAAGTGTGGTACCTCTGCCAAGAGGAATCGATCCACGTTCATTGTGAATGAGTCCACTTAAGGCCCACCAAATTAGAAACCTTGGAGTTGGCACAGCAACGGATTTAAAAGCCTCCAGGTAAACCTGAGTCATGCTAAAGTTTCAGACAATGAACTTGCTCACCATGGGAGGAAAAAAAAGAAATAAACAAAGAAACCATTTTTTTTTTTAAATCCAGGCATAGTAAATAAGCCCACACCTGTAATTCCAGCATTCTGCAAGCTGAAGCAAAAGGATCATGGGTGTTGGGCCTTCTTGGCCCTCAGAGCAAGAGCCTGTCTCCCAAAACAAAAACATAAAAGCATCTTTAATAACTATCTCAGTTTACCTGTTGGCTATATTTAGCTGGAAAATGTTCAAGGTCGCTTAAGCTGCTAGCAAAGTTCTCTCGTGCACATAGTAAATGAGCATTCTTTTCGAAGCGGGTGTGCCATGTTGAGGGAGACAACGAACTGACCTATAACAAGGTCCCAACGTTCATCCAGTACACAAGTGTTACAACTCAAGAGAGGTGGGCTGACTTCAGTGCTAAGCAAATGGGAAGACCAATCAATGCGTGAGCCCGGAGAATACGCCAGACAGCAAGAGTTAGGCCTTCTCTTCTCATACCCGAGAAGCCTAACTTTGAACTCTGCCACGAACTTTTAATAAGAGACAGAAAACCCATAATTATAGCTCATCCACCCGGAGGTTTGCTGGCTTGGGAAATGGTTTAATGATTATATTGAAAGTGGGGGAGACTAGGGGTGAATAAATTATACTCAGACAAACATGCACTACCAAAAGAATGTTTCGACCTTGGCCCAAGGACATCCCTGTGTCCTGGTTTTGGCATCTGCTCCATCACTTGCAACAGGCTGAATGATGATGATCAAGTTCTCTTTTAATCATGTTTTGTGTACCCAAATCCATATGTAATTACCAAAACGCCTCCTATGAGGAATTTAACAATGCAATAATTCAGGTCTGAGGCATTCCCTAGGACATGCGGGAGTAGCTTGATGACTTCTCTAGCAAGGAAATGAGCAACAGAGCAAGAAAGCAGTTCAGAGTACACATGGTGAGCACATGCCCTGTGCAATGCATTCTTAAACTCAGAACTACAATCTGAAACATCACCAAAGAAAACACTTCGTTTTCCTGTTCAAAGAAGGAGGTTCCTGAGCAAACTGAACCCACCACGGTGAAGTCACCCTCCTGGAGCCGAATTCTTGTCCAGCACTCAGTTCCTTGACCCCACACTGAAATCCAACCCGAATGTGTGCTTACAGGCAAGCTAGTGTACAAGCAAAAACACCCACGACCCGCTGATCCGCTAGGAGGGTGTCTCTGGATACCAATTTAGTGGAGCTGTGGGAGTGTAGTGGGTCAAGGTATATTTTTAAAGGTCTTTGGAAATTGCATGTCTCTAATCCGGATCTGGGGGTGGGGGCGGGGGGAGACTCCAAGTAAGGGATGCCGGTGGCGTTTGCAGACTGCAGCGGGGAGGCGATGCAGCCTGCAGCGGAGCACCGCCAGTCCTCCATCCGCTTCCAACCGCTTGGCAGGCTAGACGCCCCGTGACGAGCGCTCCAGTCCGGGTTCCCCTTTCCACCGCCATGTAGGGAAAGGGAGGATGGAGCGGCAGTCCGCCCCCGCCGCACACAGCATCCGCCCACTTGGCGGTGAACTTGAGCCAGCAGCGGTTAACCCGGCCGGGGGTTCTGGGCCTCAGCCGGCGCCGACGCCAAACGCCAGAGGCTCCCTCAGGTGGGGCGCAAGCCTCGATGCGCCGCCCTTCCCGGCTCTGCTCCCCCAACCCGCCCCTCTCTAGGGCGGCGGCCCCGGGGACCCTTTCCCAAGGGCGTAGGCGGGCAGGCGGGTGGGGGACGCGAGCCCCCCGGGGCGCGGGCACCTTCCCCCCCAAAGTCGCTGCAGCGCTGCCCAGAGCCCCGACCGCTTCTCAGCGCTGCACGCACAGCTTGTCTTCATCTCGCCCCATCAGGGAAGCGGATGGAGAAGCAAAGACAGACAAGACAGACAGACGGCCCGTGGCGCGGGCGAGCCTGAAACCCGACCGTCTCCGAGCCCCGGGGCACGGCGCCGCGCTGCAGATGCCAGGTCCCCGGCTGGAGATGGTGGGGATGGGCAGGGCAGAGGACGCGCGCGCCGCTCGCGGCTCGTCCGCGCTTTTTTTTTTTTTTTTTTTTTTTTTTTTCCCGCGCGTGGCCTTCCTCTTCCCCTTCGATTTACCTTGTGCCAGGCGCCCCGCGAGCTGCGGGCCGGGGTGCAGAGGCGAAGCCCGGAGGACAGGAGTTTGAGAGCCGCCATCTTCGGCCCCGGGTGCGGGAGGAGCTGGAGGAGCAGCGGGGCGAGCGCGCGGGTGTGTGTGTGCAAGCGCTGGTTGCCCGGGGCCGCGGCGGCGTCACCGGCTAAGGAGAGAAGGGAAAGGCGAGCCGGCGGGGGGGGGGGGGGGGGGGGGGGGGGGGGGGCGGGCTGGAGGCTCGACCGCGCGTCCGTGACGTCCTCGGGGACCTCGGGCGGTGCCGCCCCTTGCAGGCGGCTGGCTTGTCAAGAAGCGAGACAGGGAGGGGCCCGCGGCTCCGAGTGGAAGCGAGTCCCGCCGAAGGTCCCCGGGCCGGATGTGCTGGGGTTATCTGCGGGCGCACCCGCAGCCACCGTCGTGCCACCTTAGGGTGGAGGAGGCGCTAGTGTGTGCCTGCCCCCAGCGCAAGGCTTTGCCGTTGACCAGGGTTGAAAGTGGGCTGGAGGGTCCTCTTGCTGAACTTCTTGGTTACTTTTCCAAGTCAGCCTCTGGAATGTGCACAGGCACCAAGGGTCACTGATAAAGACCTTCTCCCAGGTCTAGACCGCTCATATTTCTAACATTTCTCAACCACCACCACCACACACACACACTCCTTCATTTCCTCAGAAAACCAACTGTGTGCTGACTGACCCTCAGGAGATGTGTCCTGCTTAACCGACAGAGGGACAAAATTAGAACTGGGCCCTTGTTCCCCATCATCCTAGTTTATGTTCCAGGATTTTTCCTGGCACCGGAGTCCCAACAATTCCGGAGATTACACAGTAGGTACAAACAGAAGTGTCTGTCTTGTCCTTAGCCAAGTTGCGCAACCCTGCCTCACCTTGCAGTGTCCTGCCTGTCTTGGTTTTGTATGAGAAAAGCCAGGCAAGGCAAGGCTTCTGGGACACAGTGAACACGCCAATGTTAGGCACTACATTTACTTCAGTTTCGGGGCTGGATTAACTTTTTTTTTTGGAGTTTTGCTTGCTTGCTGTTTTTGTTTTGTCTTGTTTGAGAAAGCATCTCTCTATTATGTCGCCCTCACTGAAACTCGTGGACGTGTGTCTTGGGCTGAACTCCACCTCTCCATCCCCCTTCTACTGCAGCTTATCCAAGTGTGTGTGTGTGTGTGTGTGTGTGTGTGTGTGTGTGTGTGTGTGTGTGTGTGCAATCGTGCCTGGCTCAAGCCTTATCTTTTGACTGGCACCCAGAGGACCTGAGCAAATTCGATTTCGTCAGGACCTTCTATGCACATGGCAGGATGAAAAAAAAAAAAAAAAAAAAAAAGCACCTAGAAGCCCAGGAACACTTTTCATTGGATTAAAGGCTGCCCACCTCCTGAGAGACTGATTTAATTTTGAGATAATGCAAAACCCATGAGAAAATTAAATGACACTTTAACTTCCTTAGAAAGGACACTAAGGCAGTGAAGGATGAATAATCCGGTTTAATTAAAATCTTCCTATCGGCCTGGTGAGATGGTAAGGGCACTTGCCTCCAGGCTTGGTGACCTTGACACCCAGGACCCACATGGTGCCAGGGGAGAACCAGCTCCTACGTGTCATCCTCTAACCTCACGTGTGTTGTGGCGTGTGCGTGCGCACATGCATTTGCATGTGCACAAAATAAATGGATAAATACTTCTTTAGTCTATCCATAAAAGCAACCATTACAGTATTCTTGTAACTCAAAGATTTTTCCCTGTGAGTACTATGGTTTTAATATGGGGAATAAAACACCAAGTGAACCGATCCAGTCACCTAGGAGAAGTTAACTTGGTAATCCTGCATATCTTCAGGCACATTTTAGTATGCTCCGGGGTTGTGAAGAGTTCGAGCCGGGGCTCTGTGACTAGCCCCAACACAGTATGTGGCAGATGTTGTATTGCAGTTTATAGAAGGAACAAAAGCTAGCATTCCTTTTCCATTTTTTCCCTTCCAGGGCCATGTGAAAAGGGGGGGTGAGGGGAAGGGCACTGGCCACTTTGTGTGTAGTCATCTGACGCATTCTTCTTGGATGGCTGGCTCATTTTGTTGCTCCTAGATGAGGAAAACAGGTATTTTAAATCTTGCATTCTGGGGAACTACTGCTCCTGGAAAAAAAAAATCAGGCTTCCTACTGCGTAGCCAGAAGACAGGGTGCTGTGTTGCTGATGCCTCCGTCATCGGCTTCGTTTTACACCTGCTCAACAATGTGTAGGCAAGCTATCAATGCAGCTTGAAAAGAGTATTTACTTTGTACAAATCTCTTTCCAGGCTCTACAAAGGTCATTTTAATTTTAACTTGCATGTAAATATCCTGATTCTTTTAAATTTCTGATTAATAGGAACATTTCCCTCTCCCATATGTGTGGGGGCATAGGCTCTGGGGACTGAACCTAAGGCCTCCTGCATGAGCACTCAACCACTGCACTATATCCTCTGCTCTGTTTTTAAGTTGCCCAGCTGAGCCTTAAATAAGCTCTGTAGTCCAGGGCTAGCCTTGAACTCCTGATCCTTCTTCTGTCTCAACCTCCCGAGTAGCTAGGATTATAGGCCTGCACTAGCAGGACCAGCGTCCTCAATACTCTTGACAGGCAGTTTGTGACAAATATTTCACATTCATGAAAGTTTCCTCATAAAATATTATACCACTTGATTTTCACACTCTTAAACACTGGAAAGACTAAACTCAGAGACTTTCAACGACAGGTCCCACACAGCTAACAGGGAAGTTTGTGTTCTGAGGTTGAGAGTTGAGGTGTCTTTCACCAGGTGAATGCAGTCTGTTGGATCGTGAGTACAGTTACCGTGTTTCTGCTTGAGAGATTTCATTTTAATTCTCCTGAAATACAGTGTAATAGTTCCTCCTTTAACTGAAAGATAAGACACCCTTCCCTAGTTAACAGCATGTTCCTCCAAGATGAAAGTCAGGGGCTGGGAAGACTGGCTTTCAAATGTTGTCTGACTGGCTTAACTAGTCATAGGAGTTTTATCTATGTGGTGTGAAGCAATTACAAAAATGCATAAATGCCTCATTTTATATAATGATCCTTTAAGCCGCAGAGAAAAAATCTTTCAAACACTTTGTGTCTTCCAGTAAGAAAAATATACAAAGTCCTCATATAAATTTGCAAACCTAAGTATTGTTTACTCTGTAAATCATTATGCCTTGATTTGCCTATTTTGTTAACGTAATATTTTCATCGTTCCCTTGAAGCAATAATTTTTACTTGATTTTGTTTAATTAATACATTAAAATGAATTGGATTCTGCCAGGCAATGGTGACTCATGCCTTTGATCCCAGCATTCAAGGAGGCAGAGGCAGGCGATTTCTCTGTGAGTCAAGGCCAGCCTGATCTACAGAGTGAGTTCCAGAACAGCTAGGGTTACACAAAGAAACCCTGTCTCATAAAAAAGAAAGAGAGAAAGGAAGGAAGGAAGAAAGGAAGGAAGAAAGAAAGAAAAGAAAGAGAAAGAGAGGAAGGAAGGAAGAGAGAAAGAAAGAAAGAAAGAAAGAAAGAAAGAAAGAAAAGAAAAGAAAAAAGAACTGAATTTTTCCCTATTCCATTTTTCATAGAAGAAAATGAAAATATATGAGCTACACGGTCAGAAAGAGCTCACCCCCAGGAATGAAAATGAGAGTCATGTTAAAGGGCTAAGAAAACTTCAGGAGGAAAACCCAGCAATCTAGTGCATTCATCTTCATTCTCAGCCTCTCCAGTGAGAGGGAGAGACTGCCATGATTGACTTTTATCCCTCTGGAACTGTAAGCCAAAGTAAGTTCTTCCTTAAATAATTTGCTGCTTTTGGTCATGGTTTTTTGTCACTGCAACAGATAAGTAACTAATAGAGACGCTGGTACCAGAGAGTAGGCTATTGCTGTGAAGCACATGACCATATTGTTTTGAGGGGGAATGTGCAAGACTGGAAATATGGACGAGAAAAGCAGTTGAGTACTTTAAGTGGTAATCCTAATAAGACCTGAAAGACACCAGTGCTGAGAGCAGTGAGGACTCAGGAGGCCCAGCTCAAGAGGTTCCAGAGAAAAACAATATTAGTAATTGGGTTAGAAGCCATTCTTGTGATGGTTGGGCAAAGAGTCTGACCACCTTCTGCTTTTATCCTAAGAACTTGCCTACTGTGGGATGGTCTTTATGTCAAATGTGTTGCTGATTGGTCAATAAATAAATCACTGATTGGCCCGTGGCCAGGCAGGAAGTATAGGCGGGACAAGGAGGAGAATAGAGCTGGGAAGTGGAAGGCTCAGGGGAGACACTGCCAGCCGCCATCAGGACAAGAAAGATGTAAAGTACCGGTAAGCCACAAGCCACGTGGCAAGGTATAGATTAATAGAAATGGATTAATTTAAGCTGTAAGAACAGTTAGCAAGAAGCCTGCCACGGCCATATAGTTTGTAACCAATATAAGTCTCTGTGTTTACTTGATCGGGTTTGAGCGGCTTGGGACTGGTGGGTGAGAGAGATTTGTCCTGACTGTGGGCCAGGCAGGAAAACTCCAGCAACAAATGGCGTCCAACGTGGTGGCAAGAGTTTCCACCTAAAACCTGAGAAAAAAGATTCTAAAACGGAGCTAAAAACAGCTTCCTAATTGTCTCTCTCAAATGAGCGGCAGCTGCCGGTTTGAGCTACTGGCGGGTTCCTGGCGTGCGCGCTCGACCTGCAGTATGAGGTCTCTGCAAGTGGCACATTAAGCTACATTGTGGATTTAGCCTTTGCTAGTACAAAACAAAAAAAAAAGAGGTTTCTGGGCTACATGCTGCTTGGATAAAAGCATAGACCCACGATAGCTCCCAGAGCTGGTGGTAAGCATACTGCCGCCATGTTGGGAAACTGAGGTGGGCGGAGCCAGCAGCCACAGATGCTACAGCTTAAAGCAACAGATTCACAATAAGACAGATTCAGATGTAATAGTTTAAAATGTGTGTAAAATATACGTAGGCTTGAAAGAGACAAAAAAAAGGTGATATATACAGTATAAAAACAAATACATGGTTTTAAAAAATAAAGTCTTTAAAGAGACAGTAAAATTAATATAAAAAATAAGCCACGTAGAGATGACTATTACACAGAGAGTCTGGATTGTGTTGTCTTTGGGATTCTTAACTACAGAGAGATATTTGATTGTAAAGAAAACTGAGTTAAACCAGTATGTATATTTTAAAGATACTTTGACTTCAAAATTTGGATGTAAGGATATGTTGCTTTGGAAAAGAGTCTCTTTTGTTTCCACAGAAAGCCAGAGGCTATGGATTTGTTCCAGATTAAGACACATCAGGTTTGACCAGCCAAGACCCCCTGAAAGGTCTCCGATGACACCATGGCCCAGATGATCCAACATCCAGAACCGTTTCAAGACAACTGGCTCAGATGATACAGCCTCACGGACTACTCCATGATCCTAAAATTTTCTTTGTTTCCCCAGAAGATACAGCGCCCCCCTCCAGCAGGAAGTAGTAAGAGAAGCTACGCCCAAATTCCCAAATATACCAAGCTGACTTTGGAGATATATAAAGGTTAAAACCTTCCTTTTTAAGAAAAGAAAAGGGGAAGTACTGTGGGATGGTCTTTATGTCAAATGTGTTGCTGATTGGTCAATAAATAAATCACTGATTGGCCCGTGGCCAGGCAGGAAGTATAGGCGGGACAAGGAGGAGAATAGAGCTGGGAAGTGGAAGGCTCAGGGGAGACACTGCCAGCCGCCATCAGGACAAGAAAGATGTAAAGTACCGGTAAGCCACAAGCCACGTGGCAAGGTATAGATTAATAGAAATGGATTAATTTAAGCTGTAAGAACAGTTAGCAAGAAGCCTGCCACGGCCATATAGTTTGTAACCAATATAAGTCTCTGTGTTTACTTGATCGGGTTTGAGCGGCTTGGGACTGGTGGGTGAGAGAGATTTGTCCTGACTGTGGGCCAGGCAGGAAAACTCCAGCTACACTTGCCTGAGGCTAAATATAAAAGTAACAGGTTAATTTTTCTGGTGAAGAAAATTTCAGAACTACATAATGTTTAGTCTGTGGCATAGTTTTTTGGTAATGCTTTTTTTGGATCTACAAAGAAAGAGAGCAAGTAGGATAGAAAGAAAACAAAATATACAGTTTGGCAAGAAAAAGAGCACTCGGAATGTTACATCCAAGGCATGCATTGAAAGAGAGGCTACAATTGTTAAGGAGTTAAACACCATTAAGGGGAGGCCTAATCGGCACTGGAACAGGGTGAGACCACCCAGCTGAGCTTCCAGATTCTGAAAGGAAAAGGACTAAGACGATTTTCTGCTCCTGGAAGCAATGACAAACAAAGGCAGCTGCTAATGTGGTTCACTGGGGCAGGATCCATCCCAAGTTCATAGCCAGACTTTGCAGGTTTCTCAACATGGTGCTGTCTTAGATGCATGAAGGAGTCAAGACTGAAAGGGTCATGAATTCTTCTTCCACTTCTTCAGAGAGCTTCTGAGGCCAGGAAAGTTGTGGGAGAGGAGTCCCTGCCTGAAGGCTTTGAGAAGGCAAGAGGCTCTGAGAAGTATTTCATGAAGCTGTGAAAGTGAAGGTTGAGTTGCAGCAAAGATACCAAAATTTTGGTGATTCCATAGCCATGGGATACCTGCTAAGGAAAACTGCATAGAAGGGGTGGAATTAGTCCAGGAGAGGGGTGTATATTACAGGCAGCAAAGTTGAGGAGTAGAGACAACCATAAGCCCCTTGACATCAGATATGGAACTACAGGATTTTGTGCTTGCCCTGTTGAGTTCTGATATTACTTTGTTATAGTATTCCCATTTGGAAGGGTAGTATGTATTCTGGGGCTTTATTGAATGTAAGAAATTTGTGTTTTGATTTTATAAGGGTTACAATTAAGAGACTGCCTTGAGTCCCCGAGGAGACTTTGAACTTTTGAGTTTTAAACAGTATTGAGGCTGTGAAAGACAATGGGGGAGTTTTGAAATTACATTAAATACATTTTGTGTTACAATGCTGTCATGAGCTTCTGGAGGCCAGGGAGTGGAATGTGGTGGTTTAAATGAGAAATGTCCCCCATTAACAAAGGAATTTGAACACTTGCTTCCCCAGATGGTGACATTGTTTGGGGAGGTTTAGGAGGTGTGGTCTTGTTGGAGGAAGTATGTCACGGGGGACAGGATTTGAGAGTACGGAGCCCATCCTACTTCCGCCATGCTCTGCTTCATTTCATGCTGGGGTTGAGATGCTGCTTCTGTTCCTGCGGCCATGCCTTTCCACGTGATGGACTCTCCTACTCCTGGAACCATATGCCAAAATAAATGTTACATATAAGTTACCTTGGTATTTTTTTATCACAACAATGAAAGGCAGCTATTTGGTCCCCATGCCTTTGAGGACCAAAATTCCACACTTCTTAGAGACACACAAATGAATTACCTTTCCTAATCTTCCTCTTCTACACACATTTTTATTCCAAATTCCATGTGCCTTTGGAATTTTACATGGTGAACTCACATAGCTTCAGTAACAACTGAGAGCCAACAAACCAAGACACATGTGAGTTCTGGTAGGTGGATCGAGCTCAAAGCAATCCCAGCACTGTTGTTCCCTAAGCTAGTAGCTCCTGTGGTGTGATAGTTAGTGATATCTTTGCAAATTGCTGAGATATGTGAGACTATACCAACCAGTATCTATTTATACTAGAAGGGTGATAAAACCTATACCTTGTGAATTTATGTATGTCTTAAGTGCTGTCTGCCCACTCTTTTGCTACAACACTGTACCTTATACTAGGAAACATAAATAGAAATTTATCTCACACAGTTCTGGATGCTAGAGAGCCTAAGATCTGCGTGACAACTAGTTCAGTGCTTTGCATTCCAGTGAAGCAAACTGCAACCTAATTTAAGAATATATTCCTATAACAAATAGCTGAATGGCAGCCAATCTTAGCAGTTATACTTCATCCAATCATAGGCTGACCAGGCCATTTTCCTATGACTCAAATAACTCGTGATACCCTGCACCCAAAAGACAAATGCTGAGCTGTGATTAATCAAGGGATTTCATTTTGTTTTTCTTAATGTCTGCCCATATTAATGAGAAAAGCTCTCTGAACTACTAGTGACTTGAGATGCTGACTCATAAATAAATATTTCTCTGTTTAAATAAGCTGCTGGGTTTAATGTTTACTTTTTTTCTTATAACAGGTTTCTTATACAGGCTTGTTTACCCTCTTTATATCCTTATGGCAGAAAGCTATGTTATAACTTTTATACTGGCAACAATCCCATTTTATAGAGACTCAACCCTCATGACTTAATCACTTTCTAAAAAGCCACACCCCCGCATATTATTACATTTGTGATTAGGAATCAAGTTATAAAGTGAAGAAATATAGGGAGTACATTTTTACACCACAACTGATATTTCATCTTTCCTCACACCCTGGAAAATATCAGGCAGGATTCAAACTCTACTTTATGATATTAATTGTTGCCACCCTTGCATCTCCCACTGCCTGAGACGTCTTTGGATTTGACCCCAGTTCTCCAGTCTGACTAAACCTATTTCCAAGTTTCCATTTCTCTTTCATTCAAATTGATTATTGTGAATCCCTCCCAAGTAAGCTTCTCTCTTAAATGTAAGCATTCTTACAACTTCCATTTCAAATGCGTACCCAGTGTTTTTACAACCTTTCCTAAAATAGTTCAAGTAGTCTTCACGTGTACCATGCTGGACACAAGAGACAGAAAAAGTGACCAAGGTGGTGGCTCAATGTCTCAAAGAACACAAAGATGAACTGGTTGCTGACCCGTATCTTCCAAGATGAAGATATTTCTTAGAAAATATTAACTGTGGAGGCTGGAGAGATGGCTCAGAAGTTAAGAAAACTTGCTACTCCTCGAGAGAAAACTTGCTACTCCTCCAGAGGACCTAGGTTTGGTTCCCATTACCCACATGGCAGCTTATATTTGTCTATGACTCCTTTCCAGGGAATCTTGTACCCTCTTCTGGCCTCCACAGGCACCCAGCATACACAAAGCACACTTACATACATGTAGGTAAAACATTCATACACATAAAATAAAAACGAAATCTTTTTTTCAAAAAAGAAGAAATATGACTGTAAAATTACCAGACCGTAGCCCACTCCAGCAATCTCATAAAAATATTATCCTGCTTCTGATTCTGAGGTAGTAGACAGATACCTGTTTCTGTCAGTGCTGCTCACCCCCCTTCTCCACCACTTCTTGAGGAAAAGCTTCCACTGAAGCTTTGTTTCAGTCTTCCTACTATTTGCTTCAGATTTATTTCCAATATCACTGAGTCAGAAGTTCCTGTCAGCATCACAAGGTAAAGTCCAACATCCAGTTATTTACAAGGCAGAATTATACAAGTTATATTACAAATACCAGAATTTACAAGGCAGGGAGCTTAAAAAACCCATCTAATCCTTAGGACTCAACAGAGATACTGCTTGACATTTGAAATGGAATTTTTTATATTTTAACTATTATAGCAACTGCAATCCAAATCACTTGTATATTCAGTTGTGACATATCTTAACATATTAATGATTAGCAGATTGTACAGTTTGGAAAGAGACATCAGGATAGTTTTTCTACCATCTCAGTTTCTATAATTTAAACCTAGAAAATAAATCATTCATAGAGTTGTCTATTTGTATTCCCTGTTTTATCCCTTTGCTCTCTGAGTATTCGCTTGTTTAAAATTGTATATATAATACTTGAATGCTCTGGCCAGCTTACATACTGCCTGTGATGGTTAATACGGATTATCAACTTGGTAGGCTTGAGAATCACTCAGTGTACCAGCCTCTGGGCAAGCTAGCGAGGGCTTTCTTGACTGGGTTTATTAAGGGGGAAGACCTACACTAAATGTAGATGACATCATTCCCCGGGGTTGGGTCCTAGACTGCAAATATAAACAAAAAGGAGAAAGCTTAGCTAAGCACATACATTCAGAACTCTTTTCTTCCAGACTGCAAAGACCATGTGACCAGCTGCCATGACCTTTCCTGCCATGATGACCTTTACCTGCAAACTGTGAGCCAAAATAAACCCTCTCTCCTTTAAGTGGCTTTTAAAAAAATATTTTATTTTTATTTATTTGTTTATTTAGTGGGGGGTGGGGGGGTGTTTTTCTGCATATGTGTCTGTGCACTATGTGCAAGGAGGCCTGAAGAGGGTGTCAGATCATCTGGGACTGGAGTTGTGAGCTGCCGTGTGAGTGCTGGGACTTGAACCTGGGTCCTTTGGAAGAACAACCAGTGTTCTTAATCATTGAGCCATTTCTCCAGCCACTGTGCCCTTTTCAGTTGCTTTTCTCTGCTCTCACACCCTTAGGGCCAGCTCTCCCACCCTGCCTATGGGAGGGGTGGGGGGCGGCTCTCCTGAGTGGAGTGCCACAGCCAGTGAGGGACAGGGCCGGATCTGCCCCCTGAGAGCAGGAGAGAAAGCTCCACCCTTTGCCAGGCACAGCACTTGGGAAAGCAGCCTCCACACCTCCCCAGGACAGCACAGTAGAGCTGGCCCTGGTGGTGTGGACACAGATGAGCCAGCTCTGAGGGCATGAGAATTAGAGAGCTGGTCCTGCCCTGCTCCTGGGCAGTGTGGGAGAGCTGGTCCTGCCCCGCTCCTGGGCAGTGTGGGAGAGCTGGCCCTGCTGACTGTAGCACTCCACTCTGGTAGAGCCTGTCTCACCCCTTGCCAGCTGCCCCAGGCAGGAGAGCTGGCCCCACCCCCCAACCTGTGCAAAACAGAAAAGCTGACCTTGGTGGCACTGGTGCAGGCGATCAGGCGAGGGCTGACCAACTCAACTACCACCCAGTGTAGACGAATTTCTAAAATGATCTTATTAAATAAAAAAAAAAAAAACACGGAGCCAAATATAGGGGTGAAAGCCTTAGATCAGGGAAATAGGGAGAGCCACCAGCCAACCTTATCTCACCAACTCTGCAGCTTCCAAATGCAAGTTACTTCCTATCTATCCATGCCTTCATTGCCTTGCTTTTCTGCCCTCTCTTAGCCCAGCTACCTCACTTCCTCTTCCTATACAACCTAGACCCAGATCCAGGGCTTTGAGTTGGCGCACCCCAACATCTACCCCATCCGTGAACTGCTGGAGTACATGAAGGGGCCGGTCCTGCAGATCCAAGGCTACAGGATCTCCATGGCACAGGGCAACAACAGGATATCCAAGAGGAGTCCTGGCAAGATCCAGTATTGATAGTGTCAGAAGCCAGAGGCCTCAAACCAGACCAATGACTCATTACAAGGAACATTTGCAAGGAAAACCGTGTGACACACGGTGACACACTGTAGTTTCCACCATTAGCGTTTTTTTTTTTTTTTTAAATCTTTTTCTTTTATTCTTTTGTTTTCTTGGGGTGGGGGGCGGTGCAAGGGCAGAGGGTGGATATGGAGAGACAGGGAGATGAGTGAGATTGTGGTGCATGCTGTGAAATTCACAAACAATAAAAAGTTAAAAACATGCCGGGCGGTGGTGGCGCACGCCTTTAATCCCAGCACTCGGGAGGCAGAGGCAGGCGGATCTCTGTGAGTTCGAGGCCAGCCTGGTCTACGGCGCGAGATCCAGGAAAGGCGCAAAGCTACACAGAGAAACCCTGTCTCGAAAAACCAAAAACAAACAAACAAACAAAAAAAAAAGTTAAAAACATGGTTGTGCACTATATAGTTTCAGAGGCTTATTTCAATTTGACTGCTTCTTACTTGACATTTATACGTAGCAGCACAAGGCACTGATATCAGTAGCTGTCAGTTATTGAAGGAAATGTTTTCTGCTCCTTGCTTCAAGTTTCTCAGATTCTTTAGTTAAAGCATGCACTGAGAGTCGAGGGCAAGCTGTAGTGTGATCAAAATGTTCTTGATATTGTATAGCCAAATACAAAGACAGTAATAATAAGCCACTGGATGTAAACCAATGGTTGCAGCAATGACCAGATTTGTTATTCTTATTGGTTTCCATTTACAACAGGACAATGTTCTTCAAATGAAAGAATGTGATATATTTGTACTACAAATTATCTTATATGTTGGGGTTCTGTATGAATTTATTTGAAAGGATCACTCTTACTTCACATATCTTTGAACACAATGGCTTTAACTAAATCAGCCTTTCTGTTTCTTGCTCATAACAGGGACCTTATGACATGGAATCTTTGCTAATGGCTATTTCCTTTGTCAACTGAGCAAGCTCCTGCTCATCTTTGAGGATCAACATCACATATCATGAACCTTGACTACTTACACCAGAGTCCACTTCCAATTTTTTTTTCTTTTACTCCATGCTTTCAGGGCCTTTTGTCTCCTGGATTATGATCTGTTCAAGAATGTCGTTGTTGGTTTTTATATTCATTGTGTCATGGGATTAATGCTAAGTTCAGAGCAGATGCTCAACATATTTTGGTTTTATTAATTTGAGTTGCCCTTTTCTCTATCCTAACACAAGCCATGAGCCTTAATCTGTGCCTCTCAGCTCACCTCTTTAGATGGAGCATCTCTTCCTTAATCATGATGAGAAAGTACTAATTATTCCCACATGCATTCTCTTTCTTCTGCTGACCACCATCCTCTTGGCCTTTTGTCTGAATCCGGTACCTCTAACTGCCCTTTCCCCACAGATAACCTGCCATTAAAGAACATGAAATCAATAGTTACTCAATGAGCTAGATATTATTTTACACTTCTTTATTTTCTTACAAAGTCTTCTGTGCTTTTTTTCATTATTATTTCCTACTCTCATTAGAAAAAAAAACATAACTAACCTACTCTTTTTCACAAGGAAGAAAATAAAACCAAAGGTGAATGTTGGCAACCACTTCCTACTGATTATGTACCAAGACAACTATTAATGCCTGCAGCAATACATTTCAAAAACTGCTGCCAAGATATTATAACATCCCTTATTTATTTCCATATCCTGTTCCATGTGTATTATCATAGTGGCCCAGTATAATACAGGTCAGAGTCACTTATAAATATCTACCTCCTGAGACCCTATTTTGCCACATGAAAAAGTAAAAATACTAAATTGTGTGTATGTGGGGGACATGCCCTCACCTTTTCCCCCAGGGTACTCTTGAAGAGTGAGGGATAAGAGATTTAGCTAGAAATATAGAGGGGAGAGAGACAGATAGAAACACAGGATAGCCTCGGGAGGGCCTGGGTCCTAATGCACCAGCCCCTTCTGTCCCTTCTATAGGGCTTTTTAAAGGAATGCCAATGGGTGGAGCAAAAGACCGCCCCCTAGCACAGCCTAGTGCAGACCCTTCCAAATACCTGGTAACCACATATGTGGTCAATCCATCCCCTTATGCACCCCTGCTGGGTAAAGCAAGCTCGGATCTCACTAGGAACCCTCTGTGGGCTCCCACGTGTGTAGAAATGATTAGGATAAACATAACAGGTAGGATTCAAATTCTATTATATAATTTATATAAGACCTCTGTGTTTTAGAGGTACTTGCCACCAAGTCTGCTGATCTGAGTCCACTCCCACATGGTGAAAGGAGAAAATCAACTCCAGCAAGTTGTCTTCTGACTGCCACACATTTATTGTGGTGTACACACACACACACACACACACACACACACACACACACACTTTTCAAAAACTGTCATAAAAAGATATTTGCACTCTCATGTTTATTATAGTATTATATATAGCAGTCAAGATAGAAGAACACCCTAAATATCCATCTCTGTATGGGTGGATAAATAAAACATGGTAATGCATAATAGTTAGATACTTTTCCACCTTCAAAAATGATATCCTGACGTGTGACAGTGTGAGTGACCCTTGAGGCTAAGCTATATGAAATAGGACAGCTCTAGAAAGTGAGAAACAAAGAATGACCCCTGTGTCGCACAAAGGAGCACCAGAACAAAGTGAAGGTAGCCCAGCACAGCCGTGTCTTTTGCAAAAAATGAGGAACAACTAAAACGAGATTGACAAGGGCAGGCAGCTCACTCGTTTTTTCCCAACACAGGTGATGGCTGCTTTTTTCCTCATAGGCTGGAGTCCAACCTCACAGCGTTTTGTGTTTGGCTAGTTTGAAAAGAATTGCTGCAAAGGAAATGAAGGAAAGGGGGAAGAGGCTCAGCAGCTCCGGGCCATCGGGTTCCAGGAAGTCGAGGGTGGGAGCGGGGGTAAGGCCTTCGTGGAAACCAAAGTTTTACAAGGAGGGAGGGGATTTATAAATATTGGCCCTGGGTGAGTTCACTAGCATTGATGGAAAAAAAAATATTCCTCAAAGAAGGACAAATGCTGTATGATTCCACTTATATACATGGTCCAATTCTGAGAAATGCAGCAAATAATGTTTTCCAGGAGTGTGATGGGAGGGAAATGAGGAACTGTAACAGGCCTGCAGACCTTAGTAGGAGCCTGGACCTTAGCGCAACTGACTCCATGATGAAAGTAGCAACTGACTCCATGATGAAAGTACCATTCGGGTCATAAAACTCAGCACATAGACAGCACCACCAGCCAAAATGAAAACAAAGACTTAATCCATCCAAGTCCACAGTTCTGGAAAAGTCTTTAAATGTACTAACCTTGCCTTTTGGCTTCTCCAGTTCCATTCTGGTTAACTGTTCTTGTTAACTGAAGTATGTCAACCCAGAACATGGGTTTTGTCTTTAAAAGCTCACCCTGAGAAAGGCTCAGGGCTACACTGGGATCCCAAACACCTAGTGTACTCGCTGGACAGCTAATAAAGACTTTCTATTGGCTTAAACCCGTGTCCATGGTGTCTACCCTGCAACAGAACTGCTATTCAAAGAGTATGCCTCTTAGTTATACAAAATAAGTTCTAGAGATATGGTTGGCTTTGGATACCACCTCCTGTTTCCCTTGTAACACTAGAAAGGTAAACACCACAAATGCACCGTCTTAGGATTTAAAATGCTGTATGAAAAGATTGAGATATCAGGCCTCTATTAAGAGAAATGACTTCCTGGTTGAAGGAACGGATTCTATTTCCAGCCCTAGCTGGAGATACGACATTCTGATCTACTCCAAAAGTTAGATCATTATATACTGTTGTCTTCTTCTTTAAGAGTTAATTCAGCTAGGCTTGTAAAACCACCTGGCCGGAAGATGGGAGAAATAATCACCCCTTAATGAGATGATGTGCTTAGTTCTCCCAGAAGCCGCTCCTCAGCTGCAGCTGCTTACACTGCTTACAGAGCACCCGCTGCTCAGCCTGCTTGCTTTTCTTAGTTCTAAATAAACAGAAACAACAACAACAAAGTAACTCACTTTTCCTTCTATCTTCTTCTTTCAGATACCAGCCCAAAGCCTAAATGTGACTTTTTCTCCCACTCAGGACTTTCTCATGCTTGCTCAGAAGCCTCTCTTCCTCTCCATCATGCAGCTGCTTGCTGACTTCCATTGCTGAGCAGGATGGTTCTTTTTTTTAAAGCCCAACTCAAAAGGCATGACTTCCTTTTCTTCATTTCGCTCGTCCTAACAGCTGCCAAGATTTACAGCTTGCCTATTATATTGTTTTTATTCAAACTCTAATGAAATGATCCTTTTGGTCTGTTTTTTTTTTTTTTGGTTTTTCGAGACAGGGTTTCTCTGTGTAGCTTTGCGCCTTTCCTGGAACTCACTTGGTAGCCCAGGCTGGCCTTGAACTCACAGAGATCTGCCTGGCTCTGCCTCCCGAGTGCTGGGATTAAAGGCGTGCGCCACCACCGCCCGACTCTTTTGGTCTGTTTTTAAATTGTTTTATCAATGAGAGTAAGAACCCAAAAGGCAACTTGGATTTCTTCATTAAAAGGTAGGTATTGTATGTGTTTCCTGGCCACAGTAATAAAAACACTATTTGGTTATCAACTTTTACCTGCTTTATTCTTAACCTGGTAACCCAGGGATAATTTCAGGAGATTAGCTATGCTCCATATTTCACATTAATCTTTCCTTTGTCCATCAGTGCATGTGAAGGAACAAGAGGATAATCTTTGTTATGCTTTGGAGCTTATATATCCCTCAAAGGCCATGTGTTGGAGATTTGGTCACTAGCCTGCCTCATTACCAGGAATGTTACTGGACATAGGTCTGGCATTTGGAAAGAAGTGATAAGAGGGAAACAAGTTCTATTGAAGAGCTGGAATGTAGGGATGGGGTTACCATTTCCTTCCTGCTCTGACTCCCTACCCCCAAAGTCTTGGGGAACTCAGATAAATGGCGGGTGTTAAGAGGGGGGAAAAGAAAGCGGTCCAGGTGCCTGTGTATTGGGTGGAGGTATTCATCCAGCATATGTGTAACCCTTTTTATTTCTCTTCTCTGGTCATATAATGGTTTCAATATGATGAGTCACCCAAAACAGATCATGCACCAACAGGTTTGCCTTCAGCTTGCAATGCTATTTTGAGAAGGTCTGGAAACATTAGGAGATGGGACAGAGCTAGCTGGAAGAAGTAGGTCATATTCTTGGGATTTGCATCATGACTCAGATCTCTCCCTGTCTTCCTCTCTGCTTCTTGCCTTCCATGATGTGAGCAGGCCCCACACCTAGCTGAAGAGCTACAGGTGGCCAGTGGCTCATGAGAGAGGAAGAATCAAGTTCCTCCAGGAAAGTGCTCCCTCACAGGTTTTTCAGTTTCAATTGGTAGTCCCCAGACACAAGTACATACAAGCAACATTAGACAGATTCACGGGTTGAATATGCATGTGTACACATATATATGTGTGTATGCATGTATACATATGTACATATGTGTAACAATAATAATTAAAGAGGAGAGCATGAATTTCAGAGGGAGGTGTCAGACACGGAAGGAGTAGGAGGACAAAGTAGCAGGAGTGATGAAGAGGCATTGCTTATTATGTGTGGAATTCACTTGTCTAATAAAAAAAATTATCAAATAGTCCAAAAAAATTAAGTGAAGAAGCCAACCGCAAATAGTCATATATAATATTAATTTTTTGGTAATTTATGAGTACACGTCATTTCTTTTACCACAGAAATTGTATTAGATGTGCTTGTCTGTCTAGCAGGAATGTAAAGGCTGAGTAGCCTTTGGACCAGTGGTTCTCAACCAGAGGGTTGCGACCCCTTTGGGGCCAAATGATCTTTTCATAGGGGTCATCTAAGACCATTGGAAAACACAGATGTTTACATTATGGCTCACAGCAGTAGGGAAATTACAGTTATAAAGTAGTAATGAAAATAATTTTGTGGTTGGGGGTCCTCACAACCTGAGGAACTATATTAAAGGGTCGCAGCATTAGGAAGGTTGAGAACCACTGGCTTAGACATTAGTTGTTTCTGGCCAAATCCTCTTAAGAATTGGCAGAGAGGATTAGAAGTTGGATTATTAGATGAGAATCTAACGCTGGAGTATTTTGGGAGTTACGGAGTATTGAACCCAGGACCTGTATGTATTAGGCGAGTACTCTATGACTAAACTAAGTCCCCAGCCTAGCCCTGAGTGAGAATCTAGGAGCTAAGTCTTCACTTATAGAGATAGATCTGTAGAGTTCGAAAATAAACCAAGGAAGGGAGCTTATTTACTTTCCACTGTGGTGACGAGCAGTTACATTTAATGGCTTACGACAATTTATATGTTCTTGGGGTTCTGTCAGGAATCCAGCAAGGGTGTACTGAGTTGAAAGAACAATTCGGAGCCTTTTCTTTGAGCAGACACCAAAAGCCCACTGACACCAGTGGAGGGAATAGTTCACAAGCGTCTGAGTGGCCTGGGATGGAAGGCAGGGTTTGATAAGGTAAAGGGTCGGGGTGGGGGTTGGGGGACTGACAGTGCTTGCTCAAGTCAACAGTCACGTGCCCCAGGCTACATAAAGAAAGACAAAATCCAGGAGGGAACTAAAGGGATAACGATCAGTAATTAAGATCAAAATGTAAAGGAAATATGGAATAAAGTCAGAGATTCCCTTTTGGGGTTTAAGACATTTTCTGGTGTACCGTGATGTTGTACTGTGTTCCACTTGTGGCAGAATTTAGAGTGAAGTTGAATGGTTAAAGGAGAGACAGACATTCAGTGTCTTTACGTAGTGTGAGAGTAGGATCCAGAGATTAGTGGGGCGGGGGTGCGGGTGGGGAGAAGCATTAAGGAAGCCTGGTCCCCAAAAGAGGAACCACAAAATAATAGTCAAGTTTGCAGGGAAATGGAAAATCCGAGGAAATGAAGGTTCTGATAGACACAAGAGCCAGAGTCCCCGGGGTGCAGTGAAAAGCTGTGGGTGGTCGTTAGGAAATCCTGGGAAAGAAGCTGAGGGTAGAGAGATAAGGGCATGGATGCAGATTTAAGACTGCAGCGATTCCATCACCAAGGGCTAGGGAGTGCAGCTGGAGATGACAGGCTTCAGACCACTTAAAGGAGCATACGTTGTTTCAGAGCAGGGAAAGTAGATTGCATCTGTCAGAGCTGATTATGTTGTTGGAGGCTATAAAGGCACAGGAGAGTGCTTTCTGGATGAAGAAAGGAAAGGATATTTATTCAGGCTGCTATCTGACTATATTTTGTGATATATTCAGTTTCTCTCTGTGTTGATGGCAAAAATAGAAACTGCTGAGACTTGTGGCCCAAGTATGCTAAAAATGATTTCTGATCTCCAAAATTAACATGCGCATCACACAATAGGGAAGTTTACTAGATTAAATGATGGCTTTTTCTCATTGGCAGAAATGTGTGGGGGTGTTCACTTGATGATATGTGAGTGAGCAATTCTTCCTTATTTTCCCTCTTACATATTTCCCTGCTCATGCCTACCTTCTCTTCCACACATACGAACCTCCTAGTTTGAGTCTTACATGCTGTCTTCTCACCAGCCTCGCTCTCTCTACACTTACACCTCCAAATCCCTCCTGCTCACTGCCTGTGTGTCTGCCACAGGTTTTATCTTGCCTGTGTCTAGCTAAGAGCCATTCCCGATCTTTCCAAGGCCTGTATCTATCTATCCCTTCCCTGACATAGGAAGAATTCCATAATGTCTCCTCTGCCAACTTTTCAAAGTTTTTTTTTCATTCAGTGTCCTATTTAAATAAATTCCTCTCTCTCTCTCTCTCTCTCTCTCTCTCTCTCTCTCTCTCTCTCTGTGTGTGTGTGTGTGTGAGAGAGAGAGAGAGAGCATTTTCTAAAACTTAATCAATACCCATTTAACACGTGTCTGCTCTGTGCTTGACAAATTTTTAGTGTAGCCGCCGAGAAATTGCTCTTGAATGAAATAGCTCTGACCGCTGAGATATCTGAGGAATTGTGTGAGAATACATCAGAGCCACAGCCTCTGAATTTGTGAGCTGGAACTGCTATGGGATAAATTTCATGTGCTCTCCAGGACTGCGCATCCAGTTGGGAACCCAGTTGAGCAAACAGCACGAACTGTTTGGAGTTGTTGCCTTACTTTCTAATATGTACTTACAAAGTATTTCAGCAAAAGAGGATGCAGCCTCTGGGAGAAACAAAACATGTTCCAGTGTTTTTTGTAGATTCTCGTTCCATAGCTCATCACAGCGCCAGCCCTGTTTTTAGCCAGAAAGGATTCAGGATCAACATTATGCATTCTGATATGGATGCATATTCCTAACTACTGTATTTGTTACCAAAAGTGGTTCTACAAATGCTACTGAAAAAAATCTGGAAATTCCTAATGTCCTGAGTATTAATAATAAAGTTTAAAAAATGCTTTTATAAAAAAAAATTTCATGTGCTCAACTTGGACAGTGGTTTTAAAAAGTTTTATTGAAATATTACTCACACACCATAAAATTCATTCGAATATTAATTTCCACCACTTTTAGGAAAGTCACGGGTAAATACTCTTCAGCCATCACCAATTTCTCATTACCTCAGAAAGATGCTTTTTGCTTTTGAGGAATCGCTCTATATTCCCACCTACCTACCTCGACTCATTAGATATGCTTTGTCTCTGGGATTTATATAACTTGGACATTTAGTAAAAATACAATCATGTAACTAGTCTCTTGTGTCTGGATTCTGTCACACAGAATAATACATTTTATTGGGGGTCTATTTTCTAGCATGTAGACCATCATTATTGCTTCTTATGCCTGAGTGGTGTTCTACTGTATGATTAAGATGGATTTCATTAATCAGTTCAAAAGCAGTCAGGTTATTTCTGATTTTTGTTCTTTATAAATAATGTAACAGGCCCAGATCAACGGAACCGAGTAACCATGGAGTGAGCCTTCTGAAAAGCTGAAGTCAACATAAACTGTTCATATTTACATTAGCTCCTCTAAAGGGCTTTGCTGCCTACAGCAGCAGGCATCTCACTGCAACAGAATTCCTTACGTGTCCTGGATACTCGCCGCCTATTAGACACATGCTTCTCAAATGTTTTTCTTCTAAGTGTGAATGCATCGAGATTATAAGTTTACTTTTCATAACTTATGGTCTTTGAAAATGTAAACTGGTAGATCCATATTAAGTCTAAATAACTGTTGCCATTTGTATATAAGATGCCCCCTCCCCAAGGCTCACATGTTAAAGGTTTGGTTCACCAGGTGGCACTACTGAGAGGT